GCCCCCAATAAAATAGATAAAGGTTAAAAAAAACTAACTGTCATTATTTTGTGTATATGTATACATGTTCTCATATGTGTACACTTGTGTGAAAGCCAGAAGTTAACATCTGGTGTCTCCTCCAATTGCTTTCCACTTTATGTTTTGAGGCAGAGTCTCTCACTGAACCTGGAGCTTGATGATTCAGCTAGACTGACTGGCCAGGGAGTCCCAGATATCCTCTTTCTCCACCTCGTCAGGATACAGGAGTGTGCACTGTGCCTAGCTTTTTATATGGGTGCTGGGGGTTGAATTCAGGTCCTTATGCATGAAATCACTGTACTGGCTGAGCCATCTCCTCATCCTCCATTAATAATGCTAAAGATATACTGAGTTCTTCTTATGTGCCAGGAATGTGCTGACACACTGCATTTGCTCAAGAGTCCTATGAGGCCATTTCTTTTATTATCCCCACTTTACAGAGGAACAAACAGAAGCACAGGAAAATTATATTACTTGGGCTGAAGATAGGCTGGCTAAGTGGTCATGAGCACTTGTAGCTCTTTCAGAGGACCTGAATTTTATCCCCAGCCCCCACATGGTAACACATAACCATCTATAATTCCAGTTCAAGGAAATCCTACACCCTCTTCTAACTTCCATAGGCACCAGGTATGCATGTAGTGCACAGACATACATGCAGGCAAAACACTCACGTTAAAAAAGTCAAAGACCACATATTGCTCTTCCAGAGGACCTGAGTTCGAGTCCTAGAACCCACACTAGGTGGCTCACAACCACTTGTAACTCCAGCTCCAGAAGGCCTCACACCTCTAGCCTCTGTGAGCACCTGTACTCACATGTACATACCCACATGTATACCCCAACACAATTTTTTGAAAATTAATAATTTAAGAATTCTATTACTTACCCAAGATGGCAAAACCTATAATAGTAGGCTTGGAATTCAAACTCAGGCAGCCCAGGGTGAAAACCCTCACTTTTAATTGATCTGATTTTGTTCCCTATATATTGAGGAAGAAGCTGATATACCTGTACCTTACCATCATCCTGTCCATGTATTAAAAGTGGAGATGACCAGTCAGATCCCTTCTCTACAGATTTCGACTTTAAGACGTAACAGGAGAGTCAGGGAGATGGCTCACTGGGAAAGTGCTTATTGTGCAAACATGAGAGCCTGAGTTCATACCCCACACAAAAGCCAGGGGCAGTCATGTGTGTCTGTGTCCCCAGCCTTGGCAGGGCAGAGACAGGCAGAGTTCTAGATCTTGCTGGCCAGCTAGTCTAGGCAAGTCAATGAGCAGTTTGGTGAGAGACCATGTCTCAGAAAACAATAAGGTTGTCAGAGGAAGACCAGGATGTCAACCTCTGCACACATGCGCACACACCTGCATATCTATGAACATGTATACACGTATATACTGCGTGCACACATACAGCAGGACAGTGGAATTCATTGCCAGTGGAGAAAGAACTGAGAAAATGAAAAAAAAAAAAAACTAGAAAGGGCATCCCAGTTATGGATTAAAGAAGCTCAATCCTGTGCTGTGAGGAAACCTAGGCCGTGTGAGGGTCATGTGTGACAGCTTCAGATAAGGCCCCGGGCAACAGCCAGTGTCACCTGCTAAACCTGCGAATGAATCTGTCTTTGAGATGTGTAGAGCCAAAGGCCTATCTGCAACCACATGAGAAACCCAAAGGGAGACCCGCTTGGGCAGAGCCCAGGCAACTCCCAGGCCCAGGTGAGATGGTTTACACCAGTCAGCAGTGGCTGTGCGTAAGATGATTGCTGTCATTTGAAGTTTGGGGCAGTTTGTACACATTGATGCATACTTGGTCATGTGTCATGCATGAATGGCTCAAGACCAGGACTCAACCTAATCATTTATCATCAATCCAGTGTGAGCCCTGTCCTGCTGCCTCAAGCCACTCTGGGTTTCTTGTATTGAACTGCTGTTCTTCCTGCCCCTGAGTGGTTAACATCTGACCACATTGATGCATCTGTTTGTCAGCTCTGTTCCCTCCTCTCCTCAGTGGACAAAGGCCTTGGCTTTTCCTTTCGAATAGCATGATCTGTGTGCTCCCCCTGGTGCTCATTGGCAGTCCTGGATGGATTCAATACCCAGCCTTCTGCAACCTGTGCGCAGGATGTTGTTCCCAGCACTTGGACTCAGTCTCAGTTTGTTCTGACCTAGCATCAGAACTTTAACTGGTTTTAGGTGGAAAATCCTGGAGCAGGGAGAATATCTCATAAAGGAGCAACTGCAGGGCCCTGGGTCTACTTCTAAGATTAATGTGGAAGAAGGGTTTGGCAGGGTGTTTTGGTCTGTGGAGCCAGCTGTGGGAAGCTGGAACAGGCAGAGGGTAGAAGTGGTGTCACTAGAAATGGGAGACCACTGTCCTTTCCCCTTTGCATGGCCAGGTGTGTCTTTCGATGATGGCTGTTAACAAGCTTGTCCACTTATCATTATCATGGTTTCACAAGTTAGTATACAACCCCATAGCAAGAAGAACAAGTTGCCAAGTATTAGTCTTTCCAGGACAGAGTTCTGTGTGAAGCGTTATATGTGAATGAGTCCACTTCATCTGTACAATATTAAGTGAGAAGTGCTATTGTTATCACCTTGTTATACATGGGTGGATAAGGTGAATGAGGCTCAAAGAGCCTGGAGAAACTCACCTAAGAGCAAAATATAAAAATGAGGGGGCTGTAGAGATGGCTTTGTCCATAAAGTACTTGCCACACAAGCCTGAGAGCCTGAGTTCTGATCCCAAGCATCAATATAAAAACCAGGAGAGGGCTGAAGAGCTGTTTCAGTGGTTAAGAGCATTTGTTTGTTATTCCAGAAGACCCTAAATTTGGTTTCCAGCCTTCAGGTCAAGCACCAAACAACTACCTGTCACTCCAGCTTTAGAGGATTGTTGTGAAACAGTTTCTTCTGAGATTAAAACTTTTCATTCTGCAGGAAGTTCCTTAAGCAGGAAGGTAAACAACTCAAAATAGCTTCAGGAAGTCCCTGAAACTGACCAGATTCACTAGTTCCCTTCCTGTAAGAGCAAACCATAAAAGCTGAGAAGGCCCCTGAGACAGAAGCAAGCTGAGCTGCAAAGAAGACCCTGAGACCAGACCAGCTGCCTGGAAAAGCAGAAACCGATTGAGCTATCTGGAAGAGGTTTAGAGCACAGCACCTGGCATATGCTCCAGTCTGCTGAGCTGCCTGCAGGCTGTGCAGTGTGCTCCAAGTTCCCAGCTTTGTGAGCTGTCACCCATGCTGGGGTGGGTTTCGGTGATGCAGCCGTCTTTGAGTCATTTCTACTCTTGTGACCCCTTAGCCATGTTCCTGTGCTGTGTAATAATCCTTCTGTACACTGTGAAGTTTTTTCACTCAGATTGGTTTAATAAAAAGTTGATTGGCCTGTAGCCAGGTAGGAATTTTAAGGGGAACAACCAAACTAGGACAATGATGGGAAGAAAAAGGGCAGAGTCAGAGGACATGCCAGCCAGCCACTGAGGAATCAGGATGTGTAGAAAATGAGGTAATAAGCCACGAGTCACGTGGCAAAGCATAGATAAGAAATATGGATTAATTTAAATGAAAGAGTTAGGTAGTAACAAGCCTGAGCTATTGGCCGAACATTTATAATTTATTTTAAGTCTCTGAGTCAGTTATTTGGGAAGCAGCTATAGATTATTTGGGAGCAGGTGGTCAGGATAGGAAAACTCTGCCTACATTCCTGTAAGCAACCCCAATAAAAGTCATTTGTTCACAAAATTGAACTTTGGTGGTATCTGTACTTTGGTCTGTTATGAGTTTCCTATCTGGGGTGAGTAGACATTTGTATTGTGTCTCCCCAGAACAAGTTCTGTCACACAACAGGGATCTGATTCCCTCTGTGGGTACCTGAATATCTCCATACCCTTTCCACCAACAGAAACAAACACAGAAATATACAGTGTTTGTTTTGTTTTGTTTGTTTTTTAAAGCCAGACAAGGTGATATGCACTTGTAATCCCAGTGAAGGGAGAAGAGACAGGAGGATCTCTGGAGCTCAGTGGCCAATCAGCCTAGCTGATTAGGAAGCTCCAGGCTCAAGGAGGAGACACTGTCTCAAACAGTAATATGGGAAGCTATGGAGATGCCCAACAGTGACCTTTGGCCTCCACCCTAATGTGCACACCCATGCATGGGTATCTACACATATTCACACATGCACGTACACACACTCGAAAAGGTAGGGTTAAAATTAAATTAAAAATCAGCTTAACAACCATCTCTGTAATCAGAATCAAGCATGTAAAAAGTCCTTTTTTTGTGATATTAAGAATCAAATCGAGCCTCACACGAGCTAGACATGTGCTAAACCACTGAGATACATCTCCATCCCAAGCTGGCCTCAACCCTTACTATGTAGCTCAGGGCTAGCCTAGAACTCATAAAATCCTTCTGCCTCAGTCTCCACAAGTACTGGGAATATAGTCATCACCGTCTATACTGGCAAAATTTCAATTGATAACATTGAGTGCTGGCCAGATTCAGAGCACCAACTGTCGCATGTGCATGCAGGATGAATCTAGACTCCTACCCTGGGCTAAGGTTTTCTTTTTAAAATTATGATATTATATTAGTTATTTGAAAATTTCATATACTTCCTCAGTATTTTGATCATTTTCACCCCTACTCCTCCATGAAACCCCTCCCAGATGTACCCAACCTCCTTCTAACTATATGTCTTTTATTTTTATCTTATTACCCACAGAGTCCAGTTTGTACACTCATGGTTATGGGGCCAGCCACTGGCACTGGGTTGACCTACCAGAGACAATGCACTTAAAGAAAGTACCATAGTTGATGCCAGCGGCCATCAACTATCACTAGTTCCTCAGTTAAGGTTGGGGCCTTGTGAGTGCCTTCCCTACAGCTTCTTATAAACAAAAGCATCCCCATCTCTCTGGCTCTTCTCTTTGACATATGCATCCTAGGGATTCTTGTGCACTGGAAGACATTTGAATAGTTAGAGCTGCATTGGCAAAAATGGTGTCGGTGGGGATAGGTAGGAAAGAAGCCACACCTTTTCTTTCTTCCTTTTTTTTAAACACACAGAATTTAATACAAAGAATTGTTAACTAAGTATAAAGTTAACTGAGTGGATGAGAAGTTATGAAAAGAATTCCAAGCTTGCAATTACAGGAAGAATTTACCACCAGTGCCGGGGGAACAAGCTGAAGGATTAAAATTTAAACCACGCAGAAAGAAGGCCTGTAGCACTGGCCTACAGACATCTAAAAGGGGGCTTGGAGCCTAGACGGTGCCTCCAGGCTGGGCCTTAGATCTAGACAGAGCTGGTGCCACTTGCTCTGAGGTGAAGCATCACTGAGGGTGACACCAAGAGTTGCAAGAAGCCTACAAGATACTGTGGGGACAAAGGAGCCAGTCTCTCCTCCCACCTCTTGCCTTAGAGTCTAACCCTACACGGCTTATTGGTGAAGACCAACCCAGCTTAAGAGAAATCAAATTGCATCCTGGAAGTGTGGTTGGCAGAATCCAGATAGCAATCCCAGGGAAGGACTGTGGTTGGCTTTGTTGAGTCACATGCCCATGAATTAAACCAATCACGAATCATGTTAGAGCCAACATGAATTATATAGTTGACTAGGCCTGGAGACCTGCTCATCTCTGTGATCTGTGGTGGCAACAGGGTCTGTTCTTACCAGATAAAGAGGGCCAGGAAGGCCTGTTGGGAACACAGAAAGTAGCCAGGAAGTCACTACAGGTATTCTGATTTTTAACCAAGACAACAGTAGGCAGCCATCTTTGCACATCATAATCTTTCTTTTAACAATCGCCCTATGAAAAATTCCTAAAAATAGGATTATCACCCTGGGTAATAAACTTGCTGGAAACTATGTAACAGGGTTGTTCTTTTGAAGCATGTGTGCATCCAATGATTTATCACAAACGCACACATACATTGATAAGTGACAGAGACAGTTAAGAATTGACAGATCCAAGGACACACAGCAGACACAAAATTTATACTCAAGGTGGGAGGGTTTTGATGAGTACCCTCTCTGGCTGGTTAAGGAAGGGAGCTTCGTCTGCTCTCTTCCCCTCGGTGCAGCTGGGCCAGTTCCCTCAACACAGGCTGGCAGCCCCGGCCCTCTGAGCCCAGTCTAGCTCGGAAAGGTGATGTGTTTCTGCTGGACCTTGTATCCTCCCAGTGGGTGCTTTCGGTTCGAAGCTCCTCCAGGAGGCTCTGCAGATGCCTCAGTGCGAGCAGCAGCTGCTGGTCTTGGATCTGCATCTCAGCCTAGGAGAGAGGAGGCATCGATGGGATGAAACAGGCACTCTTTGTGTTCACTGAGCCCCATCATGTCATTGTCTCAGTGGAGACAAGCCCTTACCTCCTCACACAAGCCATAAGTGCCATATTCCCCTGAAGCCTCAGTTGTGAATCTAGGAAGATAGAACAAATTACTCACCTTCTCAAGGTGAATGAATGGATGGGATTCATTAGAATGGTTTACAGGCTGTGGCCCAACCTAGCCCAACAGTCTCTGTCTACCAACAGAAGGTGTAAGAATCCAGTAGTTGTTCAGTCCATGAGGCTGATGTCTCAGCAGGTCTTCAGAATATGCCAGAATCCTGAAGAAGTGGGCTCCAATGCCAACGAAGGAATGGATTTCACAGTGATAGTAAAGCAAGCAGGCAAAGAGAACAAGCTTCTTTCTTCCATGTCCTTTATACAGGCTGCCAAAGGTGTGGCCCAGATTAAAGGTGGATTTTTCCACCTCAAAAGATCCAGATTAAAGGTGGGTCTTCTCACCTCAAAAGATCCAATTAAAAGGGAGTCTTCCCACTTTGAATGATTTAATTAAGAAAAAAATCCCTTACAGGTGTACCCAGCGCCGGGCGGTGGTGGCGCACGCCTTTAATCCCAGCACTCGGGAGGCAGAGGCAGGTGGATCTCTGTGAGTTCGAGGCCAGCCTGGTCTACAAAGTGAGTTCCAGGAAAGGTGCAAAACTACACAGAGAAACCCTGTCTCAAAAAATCAAAAAAACAAAACAAAACAAAACAAAAACAAAAACAAAAAAAACAGGTGTACCCAGCTACTTGGGTTTTAGTTAATTCCAGATGTAGTCAAGTTGACAACCAAGAAGAGCCATCACAATTGCTAACATGCTAGTGGCTTCTGTCATTAATAATGAAGTGAAGCCAACCCCACAGTTAGAACACATTAGGAAGTGCAAGGCTTGGGGACACCTAGGTTCCCAAAACCTTTTCAGGGGATCAGCAGTGTCAAAACAACTTGCCCTACAATAAGATACAATTTCCCCCTTTGCTTTTATTTTCTTATTATCACCCAGTGGGATTTTCCGGAAGCCAATGACATGCAATACCTCGATTGAATACAGAAACAGAAAGGAGAACTCAGTTGTTTTCTACTAATCCATATAGTAAAGTGATTTACAACAATGTAAAGCAGGGTCAACTCTTCTCTCTAAATATCTGCTTTGAAAAAATCAGTTATTTAAATAATATTTTATTAACATGCTGTGAGTTTATTTGTTCAAATGTATTGATGAATAAATAATTTAAAGTATTCGGCTTTGGGTTATAATACGTATAAAGGACGTTTTTCTTCAGTGCCCTTGATAGTTTTGCCAAACACAAAGGGGACCTAAGACAAAGAGTTCAAAGCTGCTATGCTAGAATATCACTGTCATCTACCTCCAAACCTCTCATCTTCCAGAAATCTTTTCCTATATATTTTGTCTGTTCTGCACCCTATTTTAAAATGTTAAATTTTATTTTATGATGAAGTAATTTTTGCAACATACATTGAAAAGCCACAAAAGGGTAACTGTCCCTCATTATTCAAGGAGGATGGCTCCAGGATCCATCCCGGTGGATACCAAGATCTAAGGGCATCCAAGCACTTTACAGAAAATGGAACCATGTTTGCACATGGCCTGTGAGCTTTCTGTTTGCTTTGGTCATTGCTAGATGGCCTGTGTCTTAGGTTTCTATTGATATAATGAAGATTATGCTTTCCACAGCCATAACTCCTGCTCCAGGGATCTGACGCCCTCTTCTGGCCTCCATGGGCACCTGCACTCATGTGTACAAACCCACACACATACACATAATTAAAAAGAAATCTTTAGTGTGCTGGGGGGTCAACTGTGGGGCTGGCAAGACAGCATTGCAAGTAAAGGCACTTGCTGCCAAGCTTAATGTGGTGGTTTGAACGTCCTCTATAAGCTCAGGTGTTTGAAACTTGCTTCCACATTGGTAGCACCGTTTGGGTAGGTTTAGGACATGTAGCCTTACTGAAGGAAGTATGCCACTGGGGGCTGAGATTTGAGGTTTTGAAAACCACATGCCATTCCCAGTTCATTCTCTGTTCCCGGTGTGTAGCGGTTCAAGAAGTGAGCCCTCAGCCTCTTGTGCCGACTACCATGCCTACTGCTTGCTGCCACGCTTCCGAACCATGACAGCCCCTCTAGAACTGTAAGCCAAATAAACCCTTCTTTCTGTAAGTTGTTTTGGTCACAGTGATTGTCTTAGGCTGACTATTGCTGTGAAGTACCATGATCAAAGCAACCCCAGGAGGAAAGGGTTTATTTGGCTTACGCTTCCTTCCACCTCACAGTTCATCACTGAATGAAGTCAGGGCAGGAACCTGGAGGCAGGAGCCGATGTAGAGGTCATGGAGGAGTGCTGCTTACTGGCTTGTTCCCCCTAGCTTGTTCAGCCTGCTCTCTTATACAACCCAGCTCAGGGGTGGCCCCACCCACAATGGACTGGGCCCTCCCCCATCAATCACTAATCAAAAAAAAAAATAATCTACAGCTGGATCTTATGGGGGCATTTTCTCAAATGAGTTTCCCTCCTTTCAGAAGACTCTAGTTTGTGTCAAGTTGGCATAAAACTAGCCAGTACAAAAGGTAATTTAAAACTTTTTTTTTTTTTTTTACAAAAATAGTAGAGTCAACTACAGTTAAAACTCCACCCCACTCCAGCCCAAGCTATTATACAACATAACTCAGCTGTTCCATAGAGGAAGTCACTGCGTATGGCTCTCTGGCCACACAGGAGGACACAGGTTCAGAGATGCAGATGTTCAAGGGCTGAGGATGTATCAACCAAATCCTAGGATGGACCTCTAGCACCACGAGGGTCTCTCTTTATGAGATAATTGAGATAATTATCAAAATTATTTTCCTACTAAAAAGAGTGTTTAAGAGGGCTGGGATCATGGTAGAATACTTCCTGTGGAAGGCCCTGGGGTTCAGGTTTAGCACTGCAAAAAGAAAAGTGATTTTTATTTTGTGTGTGTTAACCTGATCACCTTACAAATGAGGAGCCCGGGTCTGTGCACTGGGAGGACCAGTTGTGCAGCTGGGGTGCCTGTGGCTTCAGCAGCAGCTGTGACCCCCAACCCCATGAGAAACCCTGTCAGGGTTGCCTCCCAGCTGGCCTGTTGCCTAGCAACCCACAAAGGTCTCCTGGGATGATCTTGTCTGTCCCTCTCTCCTCTGGTGTTCCTGTGCACTCTCTCCTCTGTCTTGGCTGCTGTGCACACATATTTTGGGACGCCTCTTTATTTGGGGACATGGAGAAAAGACCACAATGAGAGGCATGGCGCCTGGCTTCCCAGGTAACACGGCATATATACTCAGGAGAATTAGGACCCGTGGGTGAGTCTTTACCAACTGGAAACAGGAGACAGGAGCAAGCTGCATAAGTGAACGTCTTCCTGCTTGCTCTTTCAACACTTGAGAGGAAGTCCCACAGGCCACTGGCTCTGTTTGGCCCCTTCTGCAGTGGGAGCTGGTGTCAGTACTCACGGCCTGGCCCAGCCCAATGCCATTTTTGCCTCTACTGGGCTTCCTCCAGCTCATCTCCCTCCACTTATATCTTAGGCTCAGTTCTTGTCGATGCCTCTGCTTTCCTAGCTAATGTGCTGGGTGTCCTTTGTCCCAGGGGTCATGTTTCATCCTAGGTGCCAAGCACTAATAAAATAAATGACATACACCTCTCACTGAAGCCTTCCAACAGCCCTCATAATGTTGGCATTATTATTACCTTCATCTTGTGATTTAAGAAACTGAGGCTCGGAGAGGTAAAGACACTAATTAGAGGTCACACAGCAACAGAGCTGGGTACATTCCTAGCACCCAGCACAATGCTAAAACCAGTCTGGCCAGCACCCAGGGTCTCCTATGTAGGCCATGACCCACTTTCCCAGTACCTACGAACTCCATTGTACTCTGTGTGGCTGCCCCAGGAGGAGTGCCTGCAGGGCTCAAACTTCAGCCCAAAGCCCCTGTCGTAGCCACCGAGGTCCTGGGAAGAGTGTGTGTGTGACCAGAAGCCTCGGGAAATACAGGCAGAAATGACAAGGCGAAAGAAAAGGCTTACCAGCTCCTTCCTCAGCCATTCCAGGATCTGCCCGAGATTGGCTGCCGGCTCTCCTGGTATTTCCATCTCAGTGTCCTTGATAGAGTCCTTGGCAATGACTTGGCTACGAGCTTGAGAGACCTTTGACTTGTACAGTCACCGGCTTCCTTCAAGCTGTCTCAGCCTGTCAGCTAAGTCACCAGGTGGAATTAATGAGAGCAGGACATTATTCACGTTGGAAAACGTAGTTTAGGATTTTTTTTTTAAGCTTTAGTGCTTTGAACAAAACAAGAAAGAAGGGGAGAAATCAGGGATATGGATATCTTCATGCCTGATGGTTCCAGGAGCTCAGGGGATCTGATGCCAACAGGCATACTAGGACTGTGAGGCTGAGGCCGGTGATGGTCCACAGGCACCCCAGGACTGTGAGGCTGAGTGAGGCCGGTGATGGTCCACAGGCACCAGGACTGTGAGGCTGAGTGAGGCCGGTGATGGGCTACAGGCACCCCAGGACTGTGAGGCTGAGTGAGGCCGGTGATGGTCCACAGACACCCCAGGACTGTGAGTCTGAGTGAGGCCGGTGATGGTCCACAGACACCCCAGGACTGTGAGGCTGAGTGAGGCCGGTGATAGTTCATAGGCACCCAAGGACTGTGAGGCTGAGTGAGGCCGGTGATGGTCCACAGGCACCCCAGGACTGGGAGGCTGAGTGAGGCCGGTGATGGTCCACAGGCATCCCAGGACTGTGAGGCTGAGTGAGGCCGGTGATGGTCCACAGGCACACCAGGACTATGAGGCTGAGTGAGGCCGGCACAGAAAGGCCTATTAGGGTTTCTTTATGGTTTCTGTGTAGAGTAGGCAGTTTACACATGCCCTCTGGGGCTGATACCCCTTCTGTGGTCCCAGTCTCCCACCCTTCCTCCCTCACCTGTGGAGTCTGGATGAAGGGATGCTGACTTCCCATGCCCCTTAACTTCTGGGATGCTCACGTGACCAGTTCTCCATGAGGGAAATCACAGCAGAAATGTGCTCTTACACATTGGGAAATCTTCACTTTCCTAAAAACCAGGAAATGTTACTGTTGCTTCCTCTTTAATTTTGCTTTTTGTCCCTTCCGTCTGCCTGGGATGTGGATGTGGTGCCTGGAGCTACAGCTGCCGTCTAGCAACGATAAGATGACAGCCAACAAAAGGAGAGGTTGGAAATCATGCTTCCACCAAGTCAGCGACACCATCTGCATGTCAGTGGGACTGTAAATGCCTTTTGAACTGGACTCCGCTGCTTGCCATCAAATCCGGTCCTGCCCAATTCCACATTTATTCCTCACAGCACACTGTGGAAAGGATATTCCTTCATCATCCCTTCCAATAAACACTTAACGATTGTCTACTGTGTGCCAAGTTCTGCCCCAGGCACCAGGAAGAAGCTCCAAACCAGAGAGAGAATGACCTTGTTTCGCTGGTCGATATTCTACCAAACAGAAACAAATGAGACCCAAACTCATGTTACAGTGGGAATAAACAGGATGTAATTCTCATGTAGGGTTTTCAAAAATGCACTCTATCCGCATGAATCTGAAACTCCAATCCAAGAGCTGATATAGCCATCCTAGATACAGAACCTAGATACAGAGCAGAGAGGACCAGCTAAATGAATTCCATCCATGCTCTCAGCTCAGGCTGTGACAGCATACCCATGGATATGTGCTCCGTTAGATCCATCCAGGACCCACAATGACAAAACATGTAAGGAAACTGCCCAGAACAAGTGACAGTGAGCAGACACCAACCACCATGGGACCAGACTTTTCTTCCTCCAAGAACTCTAGGAGAAAAATACTATGAAGCCTGACTTGGTGCTGCACATCTTCAGTCCCAGCACTCAGGAGGCAGAGGTAGGCGGATCTCTGTAAGTTCTAGGCTAGCCTGGTCTACACAGTGGGACCCTGTCTAAAACAAAAAGTATTAGGAAAATAATTATAGACACAAAAAATTAAAAACAAAAAAGATACCATATTAACAAAGGGGATTTGAAATAGAACCTGATAATTTATTCGAGCAAAAAAACTTCAAGTAAATATCTTTAAATCAAGGAGGAGGGTCTTATTTTAGCCCCAGACAACAGGGCAGGAGCACTGGGTGAAGGACATGGGGGAAGCTGGTCTCTGCCGGGGAGAGTGTTGCTAGGAATTTTGCGAAGCGGTGGGCACTTGATGGATGGCACACGAAGCATGGTGTGATGTCCAGAGAGAGCTGAGGGGGCTTCACTGGCATGGAGGTGGACCTGGGTTCTAAGTGTGAGGTCTCTAAGTCAGGCAAAAGGACCTAGCGCTGCACAGAGCCTGGGTTCTGCCTCCAGCTTTGTAGAAGGAAGTTCCTAAAGTGAGTTGTTAGGAGTGCCGCTTTCTTTCACTCTGGGGTTTACAGCCCAAGATGGATTCCGATGGCGGCACACAGACAAAATTTGCTGTGCAAATTCTATTCTGGTTCAGCTGTCACGCTTTAGAACCAAAGTGCTCTGAGAAATAGATGCTGACCACATCCGCCCAGCTATTAAACATGGGGGCCAGAAATAATCCTTTCCAGGCTCTGTGTCACATGGCTATGAAATAACAGGACAACTGTCAGAGCAGAGATGGGTGCTCCAGTCCACAAAAGCCACCTGCAGGCTGGACAGGAAGGAGATCCTTGGCTCATGGTGGCTGATGTTCATGGAGCTGTTTGGTGGTGGTGACCAAAGGAGCCAATCAGATCTGATCTCATTTTGAATTTGCCCCAGAGGTGGCACTGTCCCAAGAGTACTGGATAACAAACATCTCTAAAACGCCATACTTTCAAGTAACAATCGCACTAATCAGTTTTCTGTTGCTATAACAAATGCCTGAGATGATGAATGTAAAATAGTTTATTTTGGCTCAGTTTTGAAAGCTTGGGTTCATGGTCAGTTGGCCCTGCCACCTGGAACCGTGGTGAGGTGGCACACTACGGCACTGTGTGTGTGTAGAAACAAGCTGTTCATCTTATGACAGCCACATAGGGGAAGGTGAGAGAAAGAACACCAGGGTCCCACTATTCCCTTCATATGACCGGAAAACTTTCCACTAGGCCTAACATGTTCAAGGTTCCCCTACCTCCCTCTAGTACCTCAGGCTGGAGAGGACTTTACCAATGGGTCTTTGGAGGACACTTACCCAAATCACAGCAACCATCTATTTTCACAGAAAAATTAGTGGTTTGATGGGATGGTGAGTTGCTGCCAGCCACATATCTACAGGTCTGAGGCTGCTCCACAGATCTCCTGCCATTCTCCAGGATTTCTAGGCATGTTCTTTTGGCAGTGCAAAAAGTAAGATTTTAAAAATGTCTGGAGATTCAGCTCAGCAGGCAGTAGAATGCTTGCCTAGCAGGCACAAAGCCCTGGATCTGATCCCCAAGCACCATAAATAACCATAGCATGCATCTATAAACCTAGCAGTTGGGAGGAAGAGGCAGGAGGATTGGAAGTTTAGGGTTATTCTCAGCTACATAGAGAATTTGAGGCCAGTTAAGGCTATTTGAGACCCTATCTCAAAATAAACAAACAAAATAAAAGAGCAAATAGAATTGCAGGAAGCTCCTTTAAGGCCCAAGCTCGGAACTGGCACATTGCTACTTTGCCCACACCTTTGGGCAAGGTGATCTACACAAGCAAGTCCAGGCTGAGAGTCCACACCCATCTGCAGAGAAGTCTTTGGCAACTGTGCTATTGAGTGGAGAAGAACAGGACCACTGGCTTGGAAGGGTCCTGAAGGAGAAGAAAGAAACCACAAGATGGGCGAAGCTGGAGACAGGCGTACAGTGGTGTGGTGGTAGTGGGGGACACAGGAGGTGACCTCAGAATGAGATGACAACCATTTACTGATGTTCTACTCTGGGCCCTTGACAAACATAGACAGCCTTGTTCCATCTTTAAACCTGTAGAGACAGCAGACCCCAAACTGTGTGCCAAGGCATCCCCAACTACTGCAGAAAACTCAGAGATAGTGCAGAGCAGTTGAAAGCTCGGGGGAATGATGCAATGTCATCTATAAGATACTGTGCAGACAATCATTATTAAAGCACTTGAATCGAACTGTGTAATCATTATTGGGCATTTCTTTGGGCCTGGCTCAGTGGAAAAGTCCTTAATATGCTAACACTATGGAAAACTGAGAAAGTTTAAGAACCTCTGCCTATAAGCTAGGCATCATTATTATTTGTATTTTTAAAGTTTATTATTTTATTTTGTGTGTGTGGGATGTTTTGCCTTCATGTATGTTTGTGGAACACATGCTAGAAAGTACCCATGGAGACCAGAAGATGGTGTGAGAGCCTTTGGAAATAGAGTTACAGGCAGTGTGAGGCATCGTGTAGGTGCTGGGAATTGAGCTCATGTCCTCTGGAAGAGCAGCTAATGCTTTCAACCACTGAACCATCTCTCCAGTCCCTACTATTGCACACACACACACACACACACACACACACACACACACATACATACACACACACATATATTAATATATGTTATATATTATGCATATACATAATACATTATATATTTGCAAATTACAAATTATTATGTAAATATAAATATATACTTTTAATATATTAGAGATATATATCGGCCATTAGTCATTTTCTACACAGGGAACGAGGCTCAGAGAGGCATAATTTTTCAAGGATCACTCCAGCAGGTGGTGACAGCTGGAATTAGAATAATTTTCCCTGACCAGTGCATGGTAGGTTTTGGTCTATTTAAAGTGGTGGAAGGCCAAGAGAGGCTCTAGCTAACCCAGTGTGCTCTGCCCTGCATGGCATCATGGAAAGTTAGAGTGCTTGGCAGGGAGGAGCTGGTGCCCTGCACTTGGCCACCAAAACTGATGCCTAATTATTTCACAAAGTCATTTCTTGTGGTTAACTTGTTTTGATACACTTTCATTTATTTTTAATCCCGCTGAGGATTCATGGCTCCGAGCACATTTTATTTCATAGGTTCAGAAAGGCTTGGCACATAGACTTGAGGAGACATGGAGCCAGAAAGCCTGGACTGGCAAAGAACTGAAGCTCCTGAAAGAAGAAAACAGTATAACCATAACCTTATAACCATAAAGCCAGAATGGCTATCTGTTCATCGTCTTTGACATCAGAGTGGCTTCCATGGACCACACCCCACAATGCATTCTGGGGATAGAGTGCTGAGTAAGCAAGATTTCACACCTGACCTCATAGGTCCCACGGTCCATCTGGTAAGAGGGTCTATTAACAATCGACAGACTCAAAAATCTCAGTTCAGGATTCAACTCAGCTGACTGACCTAGCATAAAGGAAGTCAAGGGTTCCAACTATACCACTCTGGAAATTGAGTGTGGTGGTGTAATCCCAGTACTCGAAGGTAGAGGCAGGAGGATCAGAAGTTCAAGATCATCTTTGGCTATATAAGTTCAAGGTCAGTCTGGAACACATGAGATTGTGGCTCAAAATTTCAAATAAGTAAGAAGTAGGGTTGACAAGTAGATCAGCTAGCAGAGTGCTTGCCTAGCATGCATGAAGCCCTGAGTTGGATCTCTAGGACTGCATTCATTGGGTACGGTGCTACTAACCAGTAACTCTAGCACTGGGGAGGTAGAGGTAAGAGGACCCGAAAATCAATGTCATCCCCTGCTGTGCAGTAAGTCAGTGCCAGCCCGGATACCTGAGGTGCTGTCTCAAAACAAAACAAAGCCAAACAAAAACCCTCACTTTATAATACAAACCTAGTATCTGTATGCATACATCTATATTTGAGCATAAAATGAATGTATGAGTTTTCAAATGAAAAAGACTTTGGCTCATATGGAGTGCTGGCTGCCCAAGTAAACAAAGGGCTGTGACAAAAATTGTTGGCTGTGCTCCACAGGAGGGGATTCATGCCTGGTACTATAAACACAGTCAAAACCCATGGCTAGAGAGGTCATAGGCCCCATGGGCAGGTGGGAACTACTATTGTTGTTTTGCTAAATGTCTAATATTTCTGTTTATGCATACAAATCTGTTCTGCTCCCGGCCTTGGCCAAAGAAGCTTGTGTTTACATATACTGTGTGTGAAAATCTGTGCAGCTCCTGGCCTTAGCCAAAGAAGCTGCTTATTGCGGTGGGTAGTGGTTAATGCAGAGAGGCATTCCTATTCAAACTGCTGGGAATAAGCAACTGTGTGTGAGTGCCCAGCCACAGATGGGACATCTGTACTGACCGGCTCCCCAAGGCTGGGGGACATAACTGAAGAGGTGGTGGGAAGAGTGCAAAGAGCTGGAGGCTGGGAAGGAGAGCTGTGAATGCTGTCCTCTGGGTATATCATGACTGTTGCATGCATAAACTCACAGCAACTGTGGTTGCCCACACAAGACCTACCTGCACAGGATCAAGCCAGTTAAAAATCCCAGCACATATGTGGGAGGGGCTATTGAAGTCTCACCCTTAGCAGAGGAGCTATTGGCAGTTGATGGCTGGGGCCAGGGGGTGATGAGGTGACCCCTGGTAGGTTGCCCATGTCCTGGTGGGTAGATGACACCCTCCCCCCACCACACACATGGACAGTCCTAGCGGGACTTGGTGGATCAAAATAGAGCACATGAAGTTGGGAGGGAGATATGGAGATACCTTGGGGAAGGCTGAAGAGGGGTTTGGGATAGATATGATCAGTATGCATTGTATACATGTATGAAAATTTCAAAAAATAAATAAAAATGTTATTTTAAATACACATATATGTTATTGTTTAATATACTTTCTTCTCTTTTCTTACGAGAAAAACTACATCTCCCAGGCTCCCTTTCTGGTGCGTGTGTGTCATATGGTTAAATACAGGCCAATGAAATATGAATGGCAGTTACATATTCAATTTCTGGTTTATGCTCCTAAAAGATGGAGAGGGGCTCCTCTCTGACCCCAGTGCTACCTTCTGCTGACTCCCATGCACCGATGAGGCTGGAGCAGAAGCCGCCACCTGGGCATACAAGACAGGTGGAGACCAGGCCTACTTTAGGTGGAAGCCACCATGTCAGCCTGAACTGCCAAGTAGACTTTTGCAGGAGGAATATGTTGTTCTATTGAAGACATGATTGTTTGAATATCTTAAGGACAAGAGTATAGACAATTTCCCCACAACAAGC